CTATCTGGAATGGTGAAGCCCCAATGGATGAGTGGTATGCAGAATTGTAAGAGAATTCCGCCCATGGTAAGTAGTGCACCCAGTATTTCGGTGCTTCCATTGTATAACAACGTAAGTACTGTTCCAACCCTCTATTTGTGACCTCTGTCTGCCCATCTGTTTCAGGGTGATTTGCTGTACTATAACAGAGTTTTGTGCCGCTGAGACGTGCTAGCTCAGCCCAAAATTTACTTACAAAGATGCTATCCCTGTCCGATACAATTGAGCCGGGAATACCATGTAATTTGCAAACGTTTTCCACAAAAACTGAGGCTACTTTCGTTGCTGTAAAGTTAGGTGGCAAGGCTATAAAATGGGCGTACCTGGAGAGCCTGTCTATCACCACCAAGATGGCTGTTTTCCCTTCGGAATTAGGTAGTCCAGTGATAAAATCCATGGACAAATCCTCCCAAATAGCAAGAGGTACGGAGAGAGGCTGAAGTAATCCAGCAGGGGCTAGCGGTTGATATTTTGTAATTTGACAAATTGGACAGGTTCTGACAAATTCCTGAACATCTCTTTTTAGATTGGTCCAATGATAATGTGGAATTATCCTCTGTAATGTCTTCCTCACACCTCCATGACCCCCAATCAAGGATTAGTGGAACTCATACAAGATGACAGTGCGGAGTTCAGAGTTAGCTGCAATTGTAATTCTTCCTTTGAAGAGTATTAGCCCCTCTCGTAAACTGTATTGCTCATACCCTTCGGTACCTTTCTCAACCTTTTCTTTTATCTGAATTTTGCATTGGTTTGAACTTCTGCCTTAATTTGCTCCAGCAGGTTGTGATTTACTGTAGTGATGACCATAGCACATGCTTCCTCTTCAGTACCGCATACCTCAGTTTCTGATTTTCGCGATAAGGCATCTGCTACTTTATTGACAGCCCCAGGGTAGTACTCAATGGTGTAATCAAAGCCAAGTAATTTGACTAGAAAGCGTTGTTGCTCAGGGGTTTGTATAACCTGTCCCATCATGTCTTTAAGGCTTTTTTGATCGGTTCTAATGATGAATGGCCCTCCTAGAAGGTACTGCCTCCACTTGGAAACCCCTTCCGTGATTGCAAACATCTCCCGCACGTATGTTGATGAATGTTGCATCTTGGGATTGAGCTTTTTACTGAAATAGGCTATAGGCTGGTTATCTTGACTTAGTACTACGCCCACTCCGACTCCTGAAGCATCAGTTGTTAACACAAATATTTTTGTAAAGTCTGGAAGTGCCAACACAGGTGGATTAGATAATGCACTCTTGAGGTCCCTCATAGCCAGTTCTGCCTTCTCATTCCAATGAAAGGCATCCTTGTGTAGCAGTGCAGTCAAAGGGGCTGCAATTTGCGAAAAACCACGAACAAATTTGCGGTAATACCCTGCCAAGCCAAGGAAGCCGCGTAGCTGCTTAAGATTGGATGGTTTGCCCCACTCCATTATTGCTTGAATTTTCCCAGCATCAGGCCATACTCCTTGAACATCCACTATGTGACCCAAGTACTCCACCTCCTCTTGAGCAAAAGCGCACTTTGATCTTTTGGCATACAACTGGTGTTGTCTAAGACATGCCATCACCTTTCGTAAGTGTTCCCCATGTTCTCTGAATGACTTACTGTAGATCAGTATGTCATCAAAGAAGACTATAACAAACTTGCGCAAGAATTCCTTCAGAATTGAGTTCATAATACCTTGAAAGGTGGCTGGAGCGCTAGTGAGCCCAAAGGGCATTACTATGAATTCATAGTGCCCTTGGTGTGTTCTAAAGGCTGTTTTATAAATATCCTCAGGAGCCATTCTGATTTGGTGGTACCCAAAACGTAGATCCATCTTGGAAAAAATGACTGCCCCTGCCAACTCATCTAGCATCTCATCTACTGTAGGAATTGGGAACCGGTTTGGTATGGTGACTTGGTTTAGTGCCCTGTAATCTACACAAAACCTCCAAGTCCCATCCTTCTTCTTGACCAATAGTGCTGGAGATGAAAATGGGCTCAAGTCAGGCCTGATTACACCGGTATCTAGCATTTCTTTCACCATTCTTTCAATTTCTGATTTTTGAAAATAAGGATATCTCTATGGTCTGACATTCACTGCTTTTGTACCAGGTTCCAGATGGATACGGTGATCCTCTAACCGTGTGGGTGGTAGCTGAATTGGAACAGAAAAAATATCATCATATTATTGTAATACCGGTTCTACCCAGGAAGGATTTTTTGTTGCTATGTCAGGTTCCTTCAATTGTTGGTGTTCAATAGTCTGTAATTGAAAATAAGTAGCTATGGCATCAGACTGTGTTAACCTGCGAAGCTGGTGCAGTTCAATTGGCTCGGCCTGCAATCTTGTCTCTCCCTGCAGCTCGATGATGTTCCCATCTCTCTCAAATTTCAAGACCAATTGTTTATAATTAGTGGTGACATCCCCAAATTCAGACAACCACTGTACCCCTAGCACAACTTCGGCCCCCTGAATAGGAAGTACAAACAGGTCGGTGATGAACTTATGCCCTTGTAATTCCAAGCCTATTTGTTGACAAACTCCCTTGCAGCTCAAACTTGCACCGTTTCCCACTAGCACTGTAAATTGCCCAATGGGCTTTACCTCCAAACCAAGAAATTTGACTATTCTCTCCTGCACAAAATTATGGGTGGAGCCTCCATCGACCAAGTTTTGAATCGAATTCTTGTTGATGACCCCTTTCAAGCGCAGGGTGCTAGAAGAATACTGCCCATCCATAGCATGAAGACTAATACCAGGTATGTCTTCTCCACCCCTAATTTTTTCATTTGTAACTTCCAATTCTTCATCCTTCTCTTCTTCCTCATCTTCTTGAATGAGCATTAAGAACATCTTCCCTTTACATACATGGCTGCGGTTGAATTTTTCATCACAATAATAACATAGTCCCTTTTCTCTTTTCTCCATCATTTCTGCAGCTGATAGCCTTTTAATGGGCACGGTGTCCTTCGATGTCCCAGCAGCATTGAACACACCTCGACTTGGAGTTGGTAACAAGCCTGGCTGTTGTCTCCCTGTTTCGTTGTTGGGCAAAAATTTCTGGTACCCCAACCGTGCAGGAATTCTATCATTCAGCTTGTCCTCCACAACTTTAGCCAATTCAATGGCATTCTGTAATGCTTCTGGAAGATGCATCCGGACCTCTTTCCGAATTTCTGACTTGAGCCCATTCTCAAAATAACTCTGCAAGGTAACATCATCGATTCCTATGATCTGATTTGACAACTGTTCAAACTCCTTTTGATATTCTTCTACTGTGTTTTTCTGTGTTAATCTCCCCAATTCACCTCGGAGATCTCTATATTTGGAAGGCCCAAATCGAGAGAGCAAGGCTACCACAAAGGCATCCCAGGTTGATAACCTTTGGCTTCGTTCCATCCAATGGAACCAGTTTTCAGCCACCCCATCCATCTGAAAGGATGTTAGTGTGAGCTTATCCCCATCGTTCAAATTGTGGAATCCATAGAATTGCTGAATCTTGTGGATCCATGGTTCTTGGTTCCCCTCCTGCAAATCTAGGTACTGTGAACTTCACCGACTTATAAGCATTACTTCCAAAGAAAGTATTTAATCCAGATTCACTACTGCTTCCACCTTTAAACTCAGATTTATTTTTTTGATTCTGATCCAACTTGGCTTCCATTAATGTCAATTTTAGGTTCATGCTCTGTAGCAATTCCCCAAATGCACCGAACTGCTCTTCGTGTCTAGCTAGCTTGGCAACACATTCTTCCATCAAATTTGTTTTCACTGTGGAGCGAGTTCCTTCCGCCATATTGCTTGAGGAAGTTCAACTCTCAATGAAAAGAGCACCAAATGATAGGGTTATCTATCGAACAACTTAATTGAAGAAGAAAACAGAATTGAAATTGCTATTACCAACGGCGATTCGAGGACGCCAGCAACTCCAGAAAGGGTTTAAGCAAGGAGAAGGAAAAGTTTGTTACAAGATTATTTCGATACCCCCCTTGTGGTCCCCATCTCCCTATTTAACAACAGAATATTGTAATTCAAAGGAAAACTAGCTATGGGCCCATATTAGTCTTCAACCCGTTTTTTTTAACCATTCCTTGCTGATCAGCAAGTAATGGGCTTATCCACCTACGGCCCACTGGCCACTATCACATAACTTGCCCATAGGATTCCCATACACACTTCCACCGACCAAACCACTTGCTCCATCTTATCTCAAGGCTCAGCCACTTGTCTTCGTTTCAAGTTCCCACACCTCCACCTGTCAACATCACAAAGTCCTTGAGCCAGTGAGGTGTTCTCTTCTCCCTCTTTTTTTCTTCTCGTTGGTTCCTTGAGTCCAGCTCCAGCCGTTCGTTGCCTTCTTTATCAACCCAAGCAACCGGATCTGTGGAATCAGGGATATCATCAGGAGGGTGCCTATCAGATTGATTATCCTTGATTCACAACAAACCTTATGTATTGAAATTTAAATTTGTTATTATATAGTTAATATCCAAACAACATTGAAATAATCAACAAAAATCTTTAACTAATCCTAATTCCTTTCATGCATCTCAAAACAAATAGATGTAATCCATGCAAAATCAAGATTTTCATAGTCAGATAATTCCTCCATGTTTAGCATTTCTATCTTAAGTAATTACGCATTTTGAGCTTTGACTTTTTGTCCAACGTCAAATTTGAAGAGACAGCCATGCATAGTTCTAAAAACGTTCTTGGCATAAAAAAACAACTTTCCTCGTATCTCTCTCATCTCTTTAAAAAAAAGAACATATTATCTACTCGATCAATGTTTCGATTGCAGTTTGCAACTGCAATTGCGACGATAACATTGCGGTTAAAGCAGTCATAACAACCTGTGTCTGACAGCTACATCGATCTCAAACAACTGCATTTTGCCGTAATTGTCGCAATCATATGTTTTAAAGGAAACTGATATTTAAATCATTAGTGTTCTGATACATTGACAAGATTGCAAAATGGCTTCTTCATATTGTAGTTCCTTTTTTCTTCTGCTTTCTCTCTTCTTTGCCTTCAGCACATTTGCATTTGGTGGGAATTTCAACTCTGATTTTGACAGTCTCTTTGGAGATGAGAGGGTTGACATAAAAGATGATGGCAATAGCATGTCCCTCATAATGGACAAATATTCTGGCTCAGGCGTCGTTTCCAAGAATGAGTATTTGTTTGGACGTTTTGACATGCAAATCAAGCTTGTTCCAGGAAACTCTGCTGGAACCGTCACTGCCTTTTACGTAAGACTTGTTCCAATCCCATAATTGAGCTGTACATATACATAAGACATAATATATATGGGTCATGATCATTTTACAAGACAACATCTTGTAATGCCTTTCATTGATAGATTAAAATGACCATCTTTTATTCTTCGATTAACAAACATTGTCATTGAACTTGGCATTGATATGTCAAAGAATGATTGAAATTTTTCGAAAGTTAGTCATATTAAAAAAGACACGAAAGGATCCATCTCAACATATCCACATCTATACATATCTGTCATGAACTAATTCTACCCAAAACTATCTCGAAAGCTTACATTTTTTTTTTTTTTGGAATTTATTTTATCTCTTAAATCCCCGTCACATTGAGACCTTTTAGACTATGAAGTGTGGATAATGTACATGCTTTTTTTGTTGTTGTTACTTTATGCTTAAATTTAACTATTTTTTAGAAGATGGAGCCGCACGAATTGAACTCTAAACTCCTAGATTATAGAAGCTATTAGGTTGGATTGGTTCATGACAATATCTTATGACATAGTAATTGATATGTATTTCATATGCAGCTAAGCTCTCTAGGATCACAACATGATGAGATTGATATAGAGTTTTTGGGCAACTTGTCTGGTGATCCTTATCTGCTCTCAACCAATGTATATGCCAATGGTAATGGGGGTCGTGAGATGCAATTCTATCTTTGGTTTGATCCAACAGAGGACTACCACACATATTCCATTGATTGGAACCCCCACCGCATAATGTAAGTTTACGAAAAGCAACTACATATTCAAAATGATCTATATATTATATGTCATGTTTATCTAAATATGTTTCATGTTTTTGCAGAATTTCGGTGGATTACATTCCCATCAGAGTGATGCACAACAGGCAAATGATTGGTGTTCCATTCCCTACAAAACAACCTATGAGGGTTTACACAACTCTTTGGAATGGAGACTCTTGGGCTACTAGATGGGGTGAGGTGAAGATCGATTTGTCAAATGCTCCATTCATTGCAGGTTTCAAAAACTTCAATGCCAATGCTTGCATAGCAAAGCCAGGTGCAGATTGCACAAGTTTCAATGGTGGAAAAAGTAGAGGTCTTGATTATGAAAGCATGAACAAAATGCAAACGGTCCATTCGAAATGGGTTATTTATGACTATTGCAGCGATTTAAGACGTTATGCTCATGGTCTTCCATATGAATGCCGCAAGGACAATCTATTGGAATCCGTATAGAGGCTGCAATAATCATGCAGCACCATTGTCTAATGGGTAAAACTATGCAAATGGATGGTATCTTGAACGAAAAGTTGGATTGACAATAATAAAATATGTAGCCGTATTACTATATAATATGTTTGGGTTTCCATCAAAGGTTGTTATTCTATTAAAGGGAATGAATTTAAACTTCTTGGCCTTAACCTTTTGATAGATGCCTTTTACGCACTCTTTGTAGGTTTGTTTAAATTCAAAAAAAAATAAGACATTTTTGTTTGTCTGTGGACATATTTCTATCTTTCATTCTTTTCTCTGTCAAATTTCATCACCAGCTAAATAAGTTGTGTCAAGGGGATTCGGAAGGAGCCCATGGCGGGAGACCACCAATATCAAGTGGATCTGACACTATGTATTAACCCAAAACTATAAGTCATTGGATTTATGGATCTTCCTATTTATATGGATTTCACTTTGCCCATTACCAACCATTGTGGGACTATCACACTTAAATATTCCAATAAGTTGTTGGGAAAAACTCGGTTCCCTCAGATCGGCTCAGGGGCCTTTGTGCGGAAGTCAATCAACAAGATCCTGATCTCGGATCTCGGCAATACCTCGGCCTGAATTTCACCAGGTCAGGCAGCGCAGCGGAAAAATCAAAACGAAAACAGGAGAGAGAGAAGAAGAACACAACCAGATTTAACGTGGGAAAACCTTCTTGAATGAAGAAGTAAAAACCCACGGGACCTAGTCCAAATCAGAAATCCACTATGAAAATAATGGTTACAAATAATCAAATACACCAATGTGGTGGTTAACTCAACCTCTCCAACAATGGTGATAATCAAACTACCCTAGAGATGTTTCACTCAAACTCTCTCTAGAGATCTCTCAAATGCAAAGCATAAAGCTTTTGCTCAAATAATCAAATAATTCTCTCAAATTTGTTCTATCAAGTCCGACCTTTCAAATCTAACCTAGCCTCCACTCTCAACTAATGAGTATATATAGAGGAGGTGGGAATTAGGGTTAGGGTTTTTAGGAAACCCCTCAAATGAGCTTGGACTTAGCAATGAAGGAGGAAGCCCAACAAATCTCCCCCTCCGACTTCAATGCGTCGGCTTCAGCATCAACCCGGCTCCTTCATAGCAGTCTTCAAATTTTCTTGCTGGAACCGGTTTTGTCATCATGTCGGACCAATTTTGGTCAGTGTGCACTTTGACGAGAGCTCTCCACCTTCCACCACATCCCGGATCCAGTGATACCTCACATCAATATGTTTTGTGCAGGAGTGATAGGTAGAATTCTTTGCAAGATGGATTGCGCTTTGATTGTCACAACCCAGCTCGTACTTGTCTTGATCATGGCCGAGTTCCATGAGGAACTTCTTCATCCACAGCATCTCTTTGCTTGCCTCAGTAGCGGCAATGTACTCAGACTCAGTTGTCGATAGTGCAACACATTTCTGAAGTCTTGATTGCCAAGAGACAGCTCCTCCGGTAAATCTCATCAAATATCCTGTAGTCGACTTCCTCGAGTCGGCGTCTCCCCCTAAATCAGAATCCCAGTAGCCTTGCAACTCGGTTTTGCCTTCTCCAAAACGGAGACATAAGTCGGTCGTACCTCGTAGGTACTTGAAGATCCACTTCACTGCTTCCCAGTGCTCTTTGCCGGGGTTTGACAAATACCGGCTTACCATTCCTACAGCATACGCCAAGTCGGGTCTAGTGCAAACCATTGCATACATCAAGCTTCCGACGGCGGATTGGTAAGGGACCTTCATCATCTCATCTTTGTCTTCATCAGATCTCGGACATTGCTTTTGGTTCAGCTTTATGTGTCCGGCTAGGGGGGTGCTCACTGTTTTGGCTTTGTCCATGCTGAATCTCTTCAAAATCTTCTCAATATATTTCTCTTGACTCAGCCACAGTAGCTTCTTCTGTCTATCTCGGATAATCTTTATTCTGAGAATCTGCTTTGCAGGGCTGAGGTCCTTCATTGCGAAGGACGAGCTCAACGCCTTTTTCAGGGCGGCTATCCTCGATTTATCTTTCCCTACAATAAGCATGTCGTCAACATATAACAACAAAATCAGAAAATCTCCGGCCTCATACCTCTTCACAAATACGCAGTGGTCAGCATCTGTCTTTTCAAACTTATGATCAGTCATGAATGATTCAAATTTCTTGTACCACTGCTGAGGTGCTTGCTTCAAGCCATAGAGACTCTTCTTCAACCGACATACGATGTCTTCTTGGTCTGGAGCTTGGAACCCTTCTGGTTGCTCCATATATATCTCTTCTTCTAAATCACCGTGAAGAAATGTCGTCTTCACGTCCATTTGTTCTACCTCGAGGTCCATTGAAGCCGCCATGGCTAACACGGTTCGGACTGAGGTCATTTTCACCACAGGAGAAAAAATCTCCTCAAAGTCAACTCCTTTCTTCTGATTGCAGCCTTTCACTACAATACGGGCTTTGTATCTCGGCTTTTGCCCGTTCTCTTCATTCTTAATCTTGTAGACCCATTTATTTTTCAAAGCTCATCTTCCTTTTGGCAACTCAGTCAGCTCGTCTTGCATTGCCTTTTCCCATTCTTCTTTCTCTGAGCTCATCACAGCCTCATCATAACTCTGAGGCTCACCGTCTTCAGCAACAACGATGTATTCATCAGATGGGTATCTCGTAGAGGGTCTTCTTTCTCGAGTAGGATATCTCGGCTGTTCTTCAGCTTGAGAACCCGGTTCATCATTCTCATCCTGGATCTCATCATCAACTCGGACCTCAATGTCTTGGTCATCTTCAGCTTGTTGCTGATCATCATTTTCTTGATTTTCTCCCCCTGCTTCAGCTCGGACAAGAGGGATGGGTTCTTCACGTCTGACAGTAACCCGGACTTTGGGCTTCGATATGTCATGAATGTTCCCATGCTCATGAAAGATCATATCTCGGCTTCTCACGATCTTCTTATTGATTGGATCCCAAAGTCGGAACCTGATCTCACACCTCGGCGAACCAAGATAAATGCATTCTTTGTTCTTTGCATCAAGTTTGGCCCTTTCATCTTTAGGGATATGCACGAAAGCTCGGCATCCAAACACTTTCAGTTGATTATAGGCCGCTTTCCGACCTGTCCAGACTTCTTCTGGAATTTCTCCTTCAAGTGGCTGTGATGTAAGAGGTTGATCAAGTCAACAGCAGTTTTGACGGCTTCTCCCCAGAATGATTTCGGTAATCCGGCATTGGATAACATGCTTCGTACCTTCTCTTCAATTGTTCTGTTCATCCTCTCAGCCAGTCCATTCAACTGTGGAGTCTTGGGGGGCGTCTTCTCAAGTCGAATCTCGGCCGCTCTATAATATGCATCAAATGGGCCGCAATACTCACCACCATTATCAGATCGGACCACCTTCAATTTCTTGCCAGTCTCCCTTTCAACCATAGCATGGAATTCTTTAAAGGATTGGAGTACCTGGTCTTTAGTCTTCAACAAATATACCCACACTTTGCGGGAATGGTCATCAATAAATGAAACAAAATACTGAGCTCCTCCAAGAGATTTCTCCGACATGGAGCAAACATCAGTATGGACGAGGTCAAGAATATTCCTTCGTCTTCTTGGTTGATCCGGTCTCGCAAAGGAAACCCGGTTCTGCTTTCCAGCTAGACAATGCGTGCAACTCTCCAACGCTTGGCCTTTCAACCCGGTCAATAATCCTTTCTTGTTCAGGATCTGTAGCCCTTTCTCGCTCATGTGGCCGAGGCGCTTGTGCCATAGCTCCAAGCTAGGTTCATCTCGAACAGAATTGGCTTCTCCACCATTGATCTTTCCTTGCATCATATACAAGGAGCCTTCTTTCTTACCTCGGGCCACGACCAAGTTTCCCTTGGCCAGCTTCCATCTCACACTACCGAAGTAGTTCACTAACCCGGCATCATCAAGTTTGCCTACCGAGATTAGGTTCAAACGCATGTCAGGAACATGCCTTACATCTTTCAACACAAGTCGGCATCCGACATCTGTGGTCAGAGTTACATCGCCGACACCAACAATCTTGCTGGTCACTTGATTTCCCATCTTCACGACTCCAAAATCACCACCTCGATAAGAGGAGAAAAAACCTTTGTGTGGAGTAACGTGGAAGGAGGCACCGGAGTCAACAATCCAGGTGCAGTCATCTTAAGCAACATTCAAATAATTATCCTCACCAAGGAGGAATATCTCAGCATCAGGGTTTGCAGCCACCGCAGTGGTGCTCTTGTCTTCCCTCTTCTTGGGAATAATCTGATCCGGCTTCACAGAGTCGTTCTTCTCATCATTCTGTAGGATCCAGCAGTCTGGCTTCTTATGGCCTGTCTTTCCACAGTAAAAGCACTTCAACTCATATTTCAGCTTGGACCGACCTCTGGACTTGTCTCGTATGTCACGACCTCTACCTCGGCTTTTGCTTCTACCGCGGGAGTCGGATTTCCCTTTGTTCTCAGCAACGTTGGCCTCAGACGTACTCGAAGTACCTCGTTCTCTTCTCTTGGATTCTTCGCCCAAGAGGCTATATGTCACGACATCCATCTTCAATTTTCCATCTGGAGTCGAGTTATTCAGGGTCACCACCAGAGTATCCCAGCTTTCTGGCAGCGAGCTCAACAGCAGCAATGCCTGCAATTCTTCATCAATTTTCATATCATCCTTTGACAGCTGATTCACAATACCTTTGTAGGTGTTCAGGTGTTCAATCATGCTCATGTCGTCCTTGTATTCAAGCTTAACAAGTCGGCGAACCAGGTGTGCTTTGTTCCTGGGAGTCTTCTTCTGAATCATGGACTCTAGCTTCGTCCACAACTCATACGCGTTCGTGAATTCGGACACGTGTTCAAAGAGGCTTTTATCAATATTTTTCCTGATCGTGGCTACCGCCTTCCGACTCAGGATCTCCCACTCCTTATCAGTTTTGCCTGTCGGTCTCTCATCAAGGATAATGGGCTCATGCAGATCTTTGCAGTAGAGATGATCTTCCATCA